ATCTTGCAACTTTCATTTCACCATAGAATCACGCTCTTGTATCCTTCTTACGATATGCTCTGCACCTTTGAATGACATACATATTTGGCGCTTAGCGCACCTTCGACTTCGTGCCTCTCGTCAGTGCAGTATGCGTGAGATGTATCAAGTAGTGTGTGTTGTAACGCATAGGCGACTGATTATACGGATGTACGCTAATAGGTATGTGGATCGTGCTCAGAACGCCTGAAATCCGAGGGCACCCTGACAAGCGCCTTCGACATCCGCAACCTATACAAGCACTAATCAGCCCACCGAACACGACATGACAGTCGGCTTGAACAATGTACCTCTTTCGGGGCGTTGACGCTAAGAACCGTGGCGTACTTCTCTCCCACGAGCACCTCGTCCTCGATACGCACCCCAAGTCCTTGGAAGTGTTTCGGGAAGGCATCGTCGTAGGGAACGTATACGCCTGGTTCGATGGTGATCACCATACCAGGTTTGAGCGGTGCGTAACGGTCGTAAGTGGCGGCTTCGTGTAGGTCTGCGGTCGATCATTAGCGAAGAGCGCAAGGGCGGGGAATGGACACATACCGATACCGACAGGGTGCGTCAAGTAATGAGGATACAAGACGCGCTCGAGCACTCCCGCTCCTCTCCTCCCGCCAAAGTCGAAGCCAATCGCTCTTAGCTCATCTCTCAACATATCGACGCTATGTCGATGGAGATCGTTCATACTCTCACCGCCCGATGAAACGCAGAGCTCTACCAGACGCTTCTGCGCAGCAAGAACAGCGCAGTACAGCTCCTTCTGAGGTGGTGTGAATGTGCCCGAAACCGGGAATGTGCGGGAGATGTCGGAGGCGTAGCCGCCGTATTCGCAGCCTGCATCTATTAGAACTAGTTCGTTTGGTCGGAGGATGTGGTCGTTTTTGGTATAGTGGATGACGAGTGCGTTCGCTCTGGTGGATATCAGCTCATGAAGAGGGGGAAGGAGCGCATGTAGCGAGACTCACCCGGATGCGACGACGGGTACATATGCTGGTCGTTGCGAGCCTTCGCGAGCGCAGAGGTACTCAAAGTGGGCTTGCAATTGCAGTTCAGAGCGTCCAGGTTCTGCGAATCGCATAGTCTACCGGTGGTGCATTCATTCGACGTCCACATTGAGTCTCGAATGGACACTGACCTTAGCATGAGCAGTACCGCTAATGTCCGCAGCTCTCCGCATGACCCTCTGCTCGAACTCGCTCTTCACGGCTCTCAACCTCCCAACCAACGGTGCAAGAGCATGTCTCTTCGTTCCACTTAGCCCTTCCAGCACATCCTCTGCCGCTCTACCTCCGCCCACTCCGGTCAACATCTTCAGCAAACTTCGCCCAGTCGTAGGTTTCTTCCTTTGCACAGGCGGCCCGTCGACGTATACGGCCGTTGCACGGGGTAGTTGTTTGCGTAGATCACCGGGTAGGTCATCGAGACTGCGTGCATCGTCTGCACCGAAAAGTACCGCCGCGTCAGGATGCGACGTGAATGCACCGTCCCATTGCTCTTGAGAGGGCTTGCGGCCAGTCGAGTACAACGTCATGGTATATCCGCGTGGGCCACCATTCTTGCCTAGAGATAAGAGCGTGAGCAAATATATAAACTTGGTTTGCGACCGCGTACGCACGCAGAACGACGGCAGAGTCGGGCTCTTCAAAGCCGGTCAGGTACCAGAAGTCAGACGCCTGCCTGTACTTATAACTCGAGGTACGCGATTCAGTACATTGCATCGTACCGGCATGTGGGACCGCTCACAAGATGGCTGTGACGTGTTTATTAGAATAACCATCATGACTTCAGGCGCGGGTACGCACCATCACTCATGTACTTCACTGGCGCCGAGAACGAAATCGCCACAGCGCCTTCCGGCAATTGGCTCATAAGCTCTCCTCTACGCCTCTCATACTCGTGTTCAGGAATCCCTGGTGTGACCTCCCCAAGTTGTACTGCCAGGATTCAGCGCTCGCACTGCATGATTAGAGCATATAGACATACTGAGATGGGGATGGCTTTGAAAAGTAGGCTGGCCGAACGTAGACGGCTTAGGTGGGTGTAGTAGGTTTACATCAGTTGCGTACTGTCGACGCGTCAGGATGCTAGTGCATGAAGTAGTCGCGCGGGGCAAGCGTCGGGATGCGACGGATAATGCTGCCTTCATGAATGTCGAAGGCAAGACGCGACGTGACGCGACGCGCTCAGAAATTACTGTACCCATGACGCGGGGCGTTCCGAGTCGCGTGCAGCAGTGTCCACCATTCCCCGTATGCAAGGGCGTTTGCCCACAAGTAGGCATCGTTCGCAATGCGACGTGTATGGCTACATTGCACAAAGTCTAGAAGCTGAAAGAGCGACGATACAACACTATTCCTTTCGTCGGTACGAGACTTCCGAGGCTCGCCACTCTATACTAGATGTACACTCATAAATCGAGATAAAGTATGTAGAGCTTGGGCAACTCCATCAGGATACATATGAGACTCCGGTGAAATCCACAAAGCCTAAAACAAAGCTATGCGACAACCTATTGACGAAGTTAGCGGCGTCTGCGGTCGGAGCGTCTGACTGCAGCAGTATACTCACAAGACAGGTGGGTATGGTCATGAGAAAGACGTCATGGTATATGCACATGCTCAGCGTTCGGCTGTCCGCCTACAGCTTGCAGATACGCATGTGACCATAGCTTCACAAAGACGTAGAATTGGTAGGCTATCTGGTACTGCGGCAAACTCAAGCCCAGGGACAGCTATAAGTGTCGTCAGATCTCTTGCAGACTTCAGAGAGAGGGGCGTATTCGAGCATACCATGAGCGATGCGCACATCATACGCAAAAAGGTGAACTTGGGGCGTTCAATCACGCCCTCGTCTTCGAGCTCTTGTCGCCGTTGATGGAATTCTCGGTAGACATCTCGGACGGCAGTAAACGGCCGCAAGAGAAAGGACATGCAATGACAGAATTGAACTCCGGAAGAGTATGAAGATACTCTGTCACGTGTCTGCGACAGGTAGTATAGATAGAAGCCAGTATGTGTTTAGAGTACTGCTATGCAGATCAAGGACCGGAGTCTAGAAATAGCTCGCTAGACTTGTAGCCGAGGCGTCCCAGTAATCAGACCGAGGAGGCCGAAAGATAATTCCCCAGACCCGAGACAGTCGCTAGTTCAAGATGCCCTGAAGAGTGAGACCTCAGACGGTAGTGGTGGTGGTGCACGACAAGATTGTTGGCGCTTGGGTGTGGCGGTCTCCCCAATTAGCACCTCGGTCATCACGGCCATCACCGACGCCTCCGACCCGGCTCCGTTCCGGATTATTCGGAGTGGCTCAGCCGATATGTCTCTCTCTTCCTTCCACCACCATCCACTTCCCGACTCAGGAACTCTTTTGCATCCTTTTCGAGGACCGATTTAAGACACCAAGCAGTGCGCTGCCGATCCTTCTGTTTACATTCGACGGCACCGCGTGCGCGTTCATGGTGCGAAACCAGTCGCGAGCGGCGTGGTCAGCCAGTTGTCTCAACGTACTGTATGGCGCACGGCCCTATCATGGCCAGAGAAACGGGGAAGACGTATTCAGAGCATGGACAGGCTACCTTATTTGAATACATCAGAGGCGATAAGACCTACAACCTCCCCACTACGAGCTCGCCGGAGGCTCTTCAAGGTTCAAGATGCGCGCTCTAGATCCCATCTATTTCGAGGGCGGGCATCTCGTTGTTTCCCCGAAGCTGAAGAGCGCTTGCATGCGCCGTTAGTATTACGAATCACTTGGGCCTGAATAGCCCTTTGCTGTTCTGCATGCGCTTATGACATGTCTCTGCGTTGAAAGATCTGGGCTCCGAGATCGCCGCGAACATGGACTACTGAAGCTAACATCCCTCTACAGGATTTTCGTGGCCTTCTTGATGACTGAAGACTCACGTTGCCAGACATATATTGGTATCCGAGCTCACGTTTCACTCTTGCAGTGCATTGTGGATTGCATACAGAGCCAGTCGAGCTCAGGTACGGGCGCTGAGCGCTGACCCCGCGAATTGTCTCCGCACGCGCATCTCTGCCCGTGAGCAAGACATTCCTCGAGAGCCGGCCGCTGCCGTACTGCGAAAATGCGCATAGCGCGTGTACTGGGCAGGGCGAAATCTCAGACAGGGTGCAAGTCTTCGCCCGGCTCTACGCCAAGAAACATCTTCATCGAACGCCTCGCTTAATCTGGCCGTATAAGAACGAGACCGTTCGCTGAGTGGTCCACAGCGCTCCAGCTTCACGCCGTCTCCAAGTCTACTCTCCTTCTCTTACCCTTTTCACGTCATCAAAATGCGCTGCTCCGTCGCCATCTTCTCCGTCCTTGCCCTCGCTCTTGGTGCCGTCGCCTCGCCCGCACCCGAGCCTGAGGTCGCGACCCAGTACGAGCTCGTCAAGCGCTCGTGCGGTGGCGGAACCGTCTCGTGCTGCAACAGCGTACAGTCTTCCACCAGCAACAGCCAGGCATTCAGCAGCGTTAGTTCTCGTTCATCACCCACCATGAGTTTGTACTAATCGTAATCCATCATGGGGTAGGCTACCATCTTCTTCCTGCTCAGGCTCGGCTTCACCCAGGACCAGATCGTCTCTCTCGAGGAGGGCAACATCAACAACAGCACCGCTCAGGTCTGCTCGGGTTCTGGCAGCGTGTCCTGCAACCAGCAGAACGTGTGCTGCAACGGTGCCCACATCAGCGGTGTACGTCCAGCGCGCATTTCCACGTGCGCGTCCTCGCTAATTTCGTTCTCTAGTTGAACGTCCAGGCTTGCAACGCCATCAACCTCTGAACCTTTCCACTTTGACCATCACGCGCCTTACATGGACACTTCATAGACATTTGCTTGTTGTATAGACATTTGCTTGTTGTATCATGTACCTTGATTGTAGTCGAACATGATGGACATACATTCTCTGTAATACATTCTTCTCGTCGTGAACATGCGTGAACGCGTGAACGGTAGTGTCTAGCCCGTGCCTTGAGACAACTCTCACAACGAATGCAATTTCATACTCGTCTACACGACCTCAGGTTTATACTCCGTCCCGCGGCTCTGCGCCCACGTCTCCGGACCCTTCCGGTTCTTGATCCTCTGATTCTTGATCCGTCTCGCGAACCACTCTCCAGACGTCGAACCCGTATTCAGTTCAGGCTTCTCCCTCGCTGCCTCGGCGATGATGGTGGACTCGGAAGAGAGTGGCGCGAGAAGTTGACCTTCTCCTGGGCGCGTGAAGAAGACGAGGGACCAGCGCTCGAAGGCGGCCTGTTCCTTAGGCGGAGGTCTGTATCGAGATGTCAGTGCAGTGCACAGCGGTGGAGAACGAATGGGAACAGACGTACACGACGCGGTGGATGTTCGAGCGTAAGATGCCGCCGCTGAAGATAGCGAGCGCGTCTCCGATGTTGCAGATCGCATGGCCTGGGACAGGCTGAAAACGTTCCTTGAACGAACGCTCGCGGTGGAGATGTACCGTTGCACGTACCCGCACGTACTTCCACTGCTCCGAGCCCGGCGGTAGCACCTGCAACCCACCAAGCTGCCGATGATGCAAGAACGACAACGACCCAAAGTCCGTATGCGCTCCCAGTACCGCCTTATCCGCCGTATACGTCTGATTAGGCGGGTTCTTGATAACCCTGCTCTCGCTCCCGCTCTTCTCATTGACATCGTGTCTCTTGGCAAGTTCGCCCTTCGGCAGGCCTAGTCGGTCATTGAGGACGTCGAGGATCGTATCGTTCACGGCGGTGCTCTTCTCTATGAATGGTCGTATTGTGTTTATCATGCGCTCGTTGACGGTGGAAGGGTATGTGCGGTGGGTTGGGGCGGGGTAGGAGAGTGCGTCGTCGCGCGAGACGTTGATGAATTCGACAGCATCGAGGGCACCGGTGGCATCAGTTGCGTTGGCGCCTGCTGCTTTGTATCTGTGACCATGTATGAGCACAAGAGAACGTGATAAGAGCGATACAGCGGAAGTACACACCCAAACGACATCCCGCCATCGCCCTGCTCGTACTTCATCTTCTCGTCGAGAGGCAGGCGCATCGTTTCGGCACCCATATCTAACATAGCATCCACTTCCGCATCAGCGCCGTGGTTCTTCAAGCTGCGTGCTGAGCGTCAGCGTGCGTTTAACGGATATAAGAGGGAGCGAGAGGAAGTCGGAGAGTGTGTACTCACTACCAGAACCCGAGCTTCGTCGCGGCTTCCCAGAGACGATCGATCTCCTCTTCGTCACGGGCGAGGATACGCTTGTAGTCGATGACCAGCAGCGGTACGACGGGAACGTCGTCGGGGAAGGGAGGAATGACGGGGACGGGCATAATGGATGTTGTGTGAGCGGTGAGGTGAAACTGTAAAGGGTCGGAATGCGGAATGTCGAGGCCGCCAGCTGTATATATACAGGGTCAGCCTGGAGTTTCTGATACGGTGCACCAGCTCCCATGCACGCCGCCCAGGTTAGGTTCGGTACTTCTTGAATACGCTCATCGGTGGCGTGGTGACTTCAACTTGCGCAGCATTGGAATATGCATTGCACTTGCTGGACTCGAAGGGAGTATCGTTGGACCTGCTTTAGGCCAAACTCCACCGTCCGAAGGGCGTGTCGGTAACAAACAGCAATAATTCTCCTCGAAAGGGAAGCCTGCGGAGTGACGATGAGCCAGCACATAACGAGCTTGACATGAACGTTTCCCATGATTAGCCACTGTTGCCGAAATCCATTAGACTTCTGCGGTCATCGATCAAGCAGAGTGAGAGAAAGGGAGGGGAAAGTGCATGCAAAGTCGCTCAGGTGAGCATGCGTGGGGACATACTTTTGCCGCCGGCTATAGACTATGCTGTTGATATCTCCGGTAGTCCTGCACTTTGACTACAGCAGAGGCATAGCGCGCGATAGGTCTCGCGCAGTTAGGTAAGGCGTTACAGCACTGAAACATTTGAACGCTGAACTGTATTCAGAGTTCCGGGCGAATTCGTCCATGACTGGCGTGCAGTAATCAAACGAAGGTCGACCACGGTACCAGAACCTCGCCGACGTCGACCTTGCCGTCGAAAATCATGGCGGTACCTTAACTGAGCACAGACGGCGCCCACGCCGTGCAATACTGTCGGTCCTCCAACATGCGAAGCATCAGGAAATATGATATGCGGGAACGTGCGGTGTCAACTTGAACATGCGTAGTCTATGCCTCCTCTGCCTCCTCCGCCTGCTTCAACTTGAGCTTTGACAACGCCTTCATACGGCGCACGTAACTAAGAGCCACATTAGTAGCCGTCCAAATAATTGACGCGTGGGTAAACGCACTCATCGTATTGGCACCTGGCGTGCAAAGTCAGCATGATAGTAACACGGCGTAATTGAACTGGGCACGCACTTCTCGTACGCATGCTTCTCATGCTCGCACTCCCATGGCAAGTACAAGTGCTCCCTCCGGCAGACGTTCAATGGGATAAGAAGGCTATTGACGCGCGCGGGGAGGGTCGGAGAGCGGGGGTGTTCGAATGCACAAATCAGCCTATTATTGCTGACGCGAGGGTAAAGGCAACGCACGCAGAGCACTGGTCACGCCATCCGAGCGGTATGCGGTGAGCCTTGAGCTCCTCCTGGGATGCTGTCGTCGCCGAGGGCATGGTTGTCGCTGTGAACGTCGCGCTTCCGGCCTCGGCGAACGCGGCGCGAAATGCCATCAATTTCACACCCTCCGCGTCCATGGCGCGGAGGTCCGTGGCTTGTCTCTTGCCTCCACCTGTTGCTTTGTTGCATCAATCATAGACTCGCAACGACTGAACCTCACGCATTGCTAATCAAGCACGTGAACCCGATCACCTTGTAAGAGAAGAAACGGGGAAGAGCCCATACAACGATTGCGGTTTTGAGTCGCGATATCAAGTCTCGCTGTTGCTGCATATATATCCAACAAAGGCCTACACTAATCGTACAATGCTCAACGACACCCTTCTTCGTGACCGTTCTGCAGCGCGCTTCACACTACATAACTCTCAAGCGCCCTCAATAAACCTCGTCATTTTCAGGATCATACTCCGTCCCGCGACTCGCCGCCCACGTCTCGGGCCCCTTCCTATTCTTAAGCCTCTGGTTCGTGATCCTGCGCACATACCACTCTCCCGCCGTCGCGTCCGTAAACAGCTCGGGCCTGTTCTTGGCCGCTTCGGCTATGAGCGCGGACTCGGACTGGAGAGGTCGGAGGAGTTGAGATTCGCCGGGGCGGGTGAAGAAGACTACGGACCAGCGCTCGTGGGCGGCTTGGTCTTTCGGGGGTGGGCTGTGTGCGGATGTTCAGTGAGAGATACGAAGGTGGAAGTGGGAAGGGTGGGGACGTACACGACGCGGTGGATGTTCGAGCGGAGGATGCCGCCGCTGAAGATCGCGAGTGTGTCGCCGATGTTGCAGATGGCGTGGCCCGGGACGGGCTGGGCAATACGTGTCAGCGTTGATCTGCAAAAAATGTACCTCCATGCATCAACTTACCTTCACGTACTTCCACTGCTTAGATCCAGGAGGCAGAACCTGCAATCCTCCAAGCTGGTGATGATGCAAGAACGACTGTCCACACGCGTATCAGCACAAACAACTTCGCTCGAAGTGATGCACGTCGGAGGATACGCACCAACGACCCAAAGTCCGTATGCGACCCCAACACCGCCTTCTCCGCCGTATACGCCATATTCGGCGGATTCCTTATAGCCCTCCCCTCGCTCCCGCTCTTCTCCCTCACATCATGCCTCCTCGCCAGCTCACCCTTCGGCAAGCCTAGCCTATCATTCAACACATCAATCAGCGTATCGTTCACCTCGTTGCTCTTCTCTATGAACGGCCTGATCGTGACCTGCATGCGCGCGTTCACGGTGGAGGGGTAGGTGCGGTGCGTGGGCGTGGGGTACGAGAGCGCGTCGTCGCGGGAGATGTTGATGAATTCGACGAAGTCGGGCGCGCCGGAGGAGTCGGTTGCTGTTGAGCCGGCGGCTTTGTATCTGTGCATGCGTGTGTAAGAGGGTGAAGAAGAGTAGAGTAGGGAGAGGGATGTACCCGAACGATATGGCTATGCCCTCGTCGACTTGCGCGAACTTCTTCTTTTCTTCGAGCGGGAGCGCCATCGTCTCGGCGCCCATGTCGAACATACCGTCTACTTCCTCATCAGCACCATGGTTCTTTAAGCTAGTGCAGACCGTCAGCGTCGTTCATCTTGAAGGTGAAAGAGTAGCGATACTCACTACCAGAAACCGAGCTTCGTCGCGGCCTCCCACAGGCGCTCAATCTCTGCTTCATCGCGTTCGACGATGCGCTTGTAGTCGATGACGAGGAGCGGTACAACGGGCACATCGTCGGGGAAGGGTGGAATGGTAGGTACGGGCATGGTGAGTCTGGGTTCGTCAAAGAGTGAGCGCGGCCTGCGTGAGTAAAGAGAGCGCTGGGGTCGGGGCACAAAGGGCTTCGAGTGACCTGCACTATATATCAATGTTCTGCAAGACCGCGCTCATGAGAGTCCACTTACCAGTTAGGATAGTCAAGTTAGCGCAAAGACACATTCGCGATATGGCGAGCTTTGCGTATACCGTAAATGGGTTGTGGTTCACCACGGCAGGGTGGCGTGAGGAGTATAGCTGGGCCTACTTGACGCCAAAGCCCCTGCATCCGAAGGATGTCGTGCACTCTTCACATGGGGAAGCAGTAGAGAGACTCGAAGTAGCAGACTGCGGGATTGTTATGAGCCTGAGCGTAGAGTAATTGCCATGTATGCCCCTCATGACCAGTGGATGTCACTGCGCGCCTCTGGACGAAGCGATAGCAAGGGAAACGAACGGCGCAATGAGCATTGATTGGCTTGGAGAAAGCTTGCAGGGCGTAAATGTCTACGTAGCTGGCTATGGCGCTCTGGAGCGGTAGGGAACGATTACACGGAGCAGCGTCTGGTTGACCGCTTCCCGGACCGACTCGAAGACGCGATGCAGTGATGAGTATGCCCTTGATCTGTTGGCATGGGTAGCTCTGATGTGCTCAATGAGTTCTGGTTTTAGGGCTCTTGAACCGATGCATCAATAGGGAGGCAAAGAGGAGCGGCGATCACTGGAGTATAGATGAGAGGAAAAGGTCGATGTCAATTGACATAATATCTGTCGATCTGCTTCATTTCGAATTTCACTGCGAGCCTCCACGCGGCTCGCATGAAGGTAGAGATGGCCCGCATAGTATACCCTGTCACATACCCGGCGCCAGCTCTCATGGACGAACACAATAGAAACGCGCTTCGCCGCCCGCGTCAACTGAAAGTGGTCACGTTCCGTTTCACACACGCCCTCCGCGCGCGACGCGTACGCGCGTCCAGTCGCGTCCACCCCTTCGCGCCTTCACCTTCACCTTCACCTCCACCTCCCTCCACACCTACTCACCCTTCGACTCGTGACCAAGATGCCGCTCGAAGCCACAATGATAGTGCTCGACAACTCCGAGTACATGCGAAACGGCGACTACCCGCCGACGCGTTTCGGCGCGCAGAGCGACGCGGCAACGACCGTGTTCCGCACCAAGATCGACTCGAACCAGGAGAACACTGTCGGCGTTATGACCATGGCGGGCAAGGGGTGCGTCCCACTTCTACCTTATATCCTATACAAGAGAATGCTAATCTGACATATGTGTTGTAGACCGGAGGTACTGGTAACGCACACGAAAGAGATCGGCGAGATGCTCTCAGCTTTACACGACGCCAGCCTCAAAATCGCCGGCCAGCCCTCGCTCCAAAACGCCGTCGCCATCGCCCAGCTCGCGCTCAAGCACCGACAGAACAAAAACCTGCGCCAGCGCGTGCTGGTGTTCATCGGGAGCCCGCTGCCCGAGGCCGGGCCCGAGGCCGAGCGCGCGCTGGTAAGGCTCGCGAAGAAGCTCAAGAAGAACAATGTGGCTGTGGATGTTGTCGCGTATGGGGACGGGATCGAGGAGGCGGGCGAGGGCGGGAGGAGTATTTTGAAGAGTTTTGTGGATGCGGCTAGTAGTTCGGATAACTCGTGAGTACCCCCGCTCCAACTATCACTCCTTCCCGGGATTGAATTTGTGATAGGCATTATATCGCCGTACCCGCAGGAACACATCTATTGTCAGACGCCGTCATCTCGTCCGCCATCCTTGCCGCCGATCGCAATATTCCGGAAGAAGCTATGGGTGACGCCGGCGCAGGAGGATCAGGAGGCGGCGCCAACTTCGAGTTTGGCGTTGATCCTACTTTGGATCCTGAACTTGCCATGGTACATTCATCTCACATCACGCACCCCATATCGCAACTGATCTCAATTTCGATAGGCTCTGCGTATGTCCATGGAGGAAGAAGCCGCACGACAAGCAGCCGCAAACGCCACCACCAACGCACCCGCCGCATCTGCCTCCGCACCAGCACCAGCAGCACCCGCCGCAGCACAGGAGACGCAGCCTGCACCAGCAACGGACGACGAAGAAGAGGCGATGTTGCAACAGGCCCTCGCTCTGTCTGAAGGCCAACAAGCCGGCGACGATGTTGAGATGGGTGAGGGCGGCGAGGACGAGGAGCTCACGGAGGAAGAGATGATTGCACGGGCGATCGAGATGAGTATGCAGGGCGAGGAGGAGGGCGCTAAGAAGTAGACGCAGACGTGTATGTATAGTAATGGATTGAGCATCGGACATATCTTTCTTCATTTCTGTGATCTCTGCGTGACGACCGAGTTCGATGTATACCGCCCCCTATCGGAGTCGGCAGACATCTGGGAAAGCGATCTCATTATGTGAACTCTCACTTATCCATCACGCATGGACACACACAGACGCTAGGCAGCAGTGTACGAATGATAATGAGTATATATTACGCTGGTTTGCTATGAGTGGTGATGATTATATTATGTTACGAACCTACGCCAAACTCCCCCTCTCCGCCTTCCACTCCCCAAACTCCTTCTCAACCCTCCCCACGACCTCCTCCACACTCGTGCTCTTCCCAAACGCATCCACGAACTTCCCGTCCGGGTCCATAAAATAGAAATATATGCTGTGGTCCACCAGGTAGTCCTCGCTCGCCTTTGTGTTGGGCGGCGTGCTGAAATAGACGCGGTACGCTTTGCAGACCCTTTTGGCGGTGTCGTACGAGCCGGTGAGGCCGATCATGCGCGGGTGGAAGTCGAGGACGTAACGCGACATTTGGGGGAGGGTGTCGCGCGCGGGGTCGACGGAGATGAAGATGGGTTGGGTTATGGGGCCGTATTTTTTGTCTGTTTTCACTGTCAGCTCCTATGTGGCAATGACATTAATATATGGATGGGCGTACCGAGGATGTTGACGGCTTCGGTCATCTTGTCGAGCTCCTCAGGACAGATATCCGGACAGTTCGTAAAGCCGAAGTATATCAGGCTCCAGCGCCCGAGAAGGTCACGTTCAGTGAAAGTCTTGCCGTCGTGTGTCGTCATCTCGAAGGGTCCGCCGATGTTCGCGCGTCCGTACGAGCGGGACTGGCGTTCTTCCTCTACATCACGCGTGCACATCATCAGTCAACGTCTCGGTGAAGGATGGGAGTGAGAGACGCACCTCGCGCCTGGATCATCCGCTGCTTCTCGCTCGTAAAGTACCAATACAGCCCCGCGCCCGCCGCAACGAAAAGCGCAGCCGAGACGGGCGAGAACACCTACACAAACATCAGCATCAGCACTTCATCAACACCTAGAGTACAAACATACCCCAACAGCACTCTTATTCTTATACTTATCCTCCCACATAATCCTCGCCTTATCCTCGACCGTCTCCTTCACCTCCTCCTTCACCTCCTCCCCAGCCTTCTTCGGCGCCTCATCAGCGTACCCGCGCGCCGGCCATCTCCACGAGAAAGTACGAGGTGCGCAGCGTGCATAATCGAGCGAAGACGGTGTTGTGGAGAGTGAGGAGGGCGCTTGGCGCAGTGCGCGCTGGAGCGCGAGTCTGGTGGAAGTCTGCATTGAAGGTGCTGAATACGACCTCGGACGCGTCCAGGCGCGCCGAGACGCGCCGGGTGCGTGAGCGCGTCTGATGTCGGATGTGACGGGTGATAAATGTTGAAAGTGGAAGAGTTTCACAGCAGCATGGCGCAGCTGGTATAGCGCGCGGGGCTCATAACCCCGAGGTCCTTGGATCGAAACCAAGTGCTGCTAGTATATCAATGTCAGGGTTTATACTTTTTTTGCCTTTCTAAATTTCAGATATAACGAGTTGATAATGAGGGTCCACATTCTATGGCCGGAATGGCATAGCCAGCTAGCCCTGTTTTACGCGAAGTCGCTCTCAGGTGTTCACACAGTCGAGACATTGGAATAGAAATGTGCTTGCGCGTCTAAGTACTTGAACACAGAGAACGGCGCCGCAAGCTGCGTCGGGCACCTCGCGCGTAATTACAAAGAAAGAAATGAAAATATAAAATGCTACGACAAATGGACAGCCCCAATCAAGAATGAATCACGAAACCCCGAGAACCCGAAGTCATTTTGAGTTGGCGCTCAGCGGCGGAGCGCGATCTGGGTGACTTCCGGGAAGGGAGAGCGCTCCTCGACGACGGCGCGGCGGCCTGCGGGTGCGTCTGCGGCGGTGGGGAGGGGTGCGGCAGTGGCGAGGACCTATGAAGGAGTGAGCGAGAGGAAGAAAGGGGATGTGAAGGAGAACGTACGGAAGAGGCAACCGGGTCGCAGTCGTACGGCGAGTCGCAAAGCGGGACAAAGTCGTCCGCAAAGCCCGTCGGCTTGGCACCAGCAGCCGCGAACACGGCCGAAGTCGGGGGCGCAGCGGTACCGGGGAGCTCGTACACGTTCTCAGCGGAGATCGTCGGCGGGTACGCGTTCGCCGACACGCGGGGCTGGCGCTGCGCCGTGGGCTGGCTCGAGCGCTGAATACCGCAGCGCTGGAGGCACTCGTCGACGCCGAGCACGACGTTATCGGGGATGAACGCCTCGAGGTCGAGCACCTCCTGCACACCGAGGCCGCCGAGGGCCGCGCCGACGATGTCGGGCGGCAGCCCGAAGAAGCGCTGCGCGACCTGCTGCACGCCCGGGTTCTCGCCGTTGAAGCCCGCGACGAACATCGCCTCCTCGCAGGAGGGGTTCATCTCGAAGTGGATCGCGCCCTGCGGGAAGATCGTCGCGGTTCCGGGGCGGATGTCGATCTCGGCGAAGCGGGCGCCGTTTTCGATTAGGACGCCGCCGCGGAGCGTCGTGTTGAGCGAGAAGTTGATCTCCGTTGCGCGGGGGTGGGTGTGGGGAGTGTTCATGCCGCACGGGCCGAGGTAACCGATGGCTGTAGACTATGTCAGATAGGAATGAGGATGATAGGGTTGTGAACACGCACTCATGGAGACACCGTTACCGATGACAGCCGGGAAGTTGACCGAGTCGGCGGCGACGGTGTGGCCTCCGACACCAGTGGTGACACCGAGGTCGCCAGTCTTAGCACCGTTGAAGTCGAAGATAGAAAGCTCGTCAGTGATGATCTTGGACTGGTCGACCTTGGTAGGCGCGAGGCGGAGCTCCTCAGTAAGCTCGGCAACAGTAGAGGCGTTCAGGCCCGCGGCGAAAGCGGAGCCGGCGAGAGCAAGGAGACTTGCGGAAGTTGCGACGGTGAACATGGTCGTCAAGAATGAGGGTCGTAAGAAAATAAGAAGGCAGAAAGAAGAAGAAGAAGAAGAAAAGATAAAGATAAAAGAAGAAGAGAGAAGGAGAAGAGGATGAAGAGGATGGGGAATGCAGTGGGATGGAGGTGCCACATTATATAGCAGGGTCGCGGTGATCGTGCCTCCTCCATAGGCCAGTCAGCTCTGCGCACTTGACATGCTAGGATTGGCGGGGCAGGCGCACACCCGCAGCGAACGGGAGAATATGCGCCGTAAAAGCTGAGCACGCCCGAAGTCACCCGTGCCCGCAGACATTGACGCGCGGCTGAGCGCAGGCCGAATCCTCCTGATCTCTCTCGTCAATGGCACAGAAGCCAACTAGCGCACTGTGCGGAACGTAACAATCCAGCAGAGAAGTTTCAGCGACAAAGCCTCGGCGGCGCACGGACGTTCGGCGAGCCAAGGAGTGCAGCGATTATGACGAGAGGGATTGATGCTGCACAATGTCGACGGTTCACACAGCCGTATGCGGAAACATCAGGTATGCCTAACACTCCGACCCTGCAGCGAAGCAAGAGGATCGCGAATGCTTAACGGTTCGACCCTGCATAGAGCAATTTGGAGATGGTGACGGTGCTGGTACGTGTTGGACTGTGGACAAGAGCAGACCAGGCGTTCGCGGCGGTCGCACGAGGCTTCGGCGATTCCCGCGCGCTTCTCCTCGCACCTCGGCCAACTCTTTCTGCTTACGCCGACCATCATCTCCCCACGGCATAATGGCAAGCCTCCCGCTTATGTCCATGACAGAACTCCGGGGCGCATTCGTCTCCATCCGGGAGACACGCCGTCCCGTGGCGCTTATATAACTCCATGAACTGGAATAGAGGAGAATTATCGTATATCTGACAGTACACTAGAATCATGTATTGTCCGGAATAAGGCATATGTTATTCAAGAGTACGATATACGGTGTACTAAGGATTTGAAACAATCGAGTGCGGCCGTCTATCACCGGCTCCGCCCTACGTCTGTCTACACGACCACTACGCTGGTGCCATGCAGCCCCTCTTCCCACGAGTACATTGCCCATACCTTGCGGTCAACACGGATTTCCCGCACGGCCTTGTTACAATGCTGGCGTGAGTTCACAGCAGCGACCAGGGCGCTGAAGACCGGTGCGAGGGCGTCCTTGGTACCTGGGTCATCGAAGTCGTCAACCTTAGCGTCCACGTACAAGTGGATGGATTCGAGCGATGGAAGTGGTATAGAGGCACAATCGTCATGCTTGTGGACTGTCCGAACTAGTTTCTCGAGGAGAGTGGCAGCTTGGGCGATAATCGCTATCGCCAAATGACGGATTCCCGGCGCGGAGAGGAGTTTTTCCACGATTTGTATACGATCTTCCTGATGTTTTTCTGATAGTCTGCGTATGATAGTCCCACTGAGGGTGAAGTATGCGAGGGTTTCGAGAGGAAGCAACTGGGCGAGTCCGTCGAGGTCGCCGGCGGTGACCTTGTCATTGTAGCATGCGTTCCGTCCAATGCGTATGAGAGAGCTGTCCGCGCGGTCTGTAGTCCATGAACGCGTGTCATCTGGTGAGCGCAGGTGTTCGGTAGACCAAGATACGTCATCTCCAAGTAGAATGTATGCCTCGGCGACTGTAAGGAGGAGGCCCCAACATGAGCGATGAAGATCGCAATTGACACAACACGCCATATTCGCAAGGCGGACGAGGCGACTGGCGATTTGTGTACCTTCGTCGCCCCAGGTGTAGTAGTAATCATATTCGTTGCTATCCAGCAAAACGACTTCAACCCCACGTGAAAATTTGATACGAGTTAAAATCTCGAAGGCCGAGTGGACGCCGTCGTTTTCATCTCCTAACACGCACTCCAATCGACGAAAGGTCGGTGGTAACAAGCGACGGCGAGTCGCCGATGTAGGAGCGTCGGAGATTGCCGTGTCATCACTCGCTGGCGTACAACTGAGTCGTAATTGCTCTAGTTGTGGCAGAGAGCAAATCATGTCCAGTATGTCATCAACAAGAACGACGGGGGCCCTGGAAGTCGACGTCCATGAGAAGGAAAGATGGGTAATTTCTGAAGAGAACATAGGAGATGATAAAGGTGGCATGCAGTCTTGAAAGCTGAGGCGCGAAAGTTGGTGAGGGGAAGCGAGGGGAAGCTTGACGTCTACGAGAAGTTCTTCTGCATAATTCCAAAGGCCGAGGGAAAACTCTTTCAATTCGGGTAAATATGGGATGGATCCAATGATTTCTTGCAGGCTCTCTTTGTGGATATCGCCCAGTCTCAAGCTGCGAAGATGACTGCAAGCAGACGGCGTAAGCCACATCTGAGTGAAGTCAATGGAACGTTTAAGTGTATCGCCATCAAAGTCTAAATCATAGCGGAGGGGCTGATTGGCAGATCGAGCTTCAACGATGTCTCGAAAGTTGGGATGGAGCTCAGAGCATTCGATATCGCACCACAGAGACGGCAGTGCGAGGGCCACCTGTACAGACGCGTAAATCAGCCATCAAGACAGACAGCAACGACAAAACGGCTCACCTCTCTCAGAGCACTGCAGACATACGTCGCGTTGAGCCAGCCGAGGACACCGGGACCTCTCTTTCGCGTTTGGTGAGAACACCATTTCGAAGGGTCAAACGCGCGAAATTCCTCGTCCTCCTCCAGGTCTCGTTCTGTCATCCGTGTCATTTCGGGGCTCCATATGATCTTGACCTCGAGCAGTATCATTGCCAGAACTTCGACCGGAAGCCTGCACGGCCATGCGACGCGTGCGTTGCGCTGTCTCCGCGCCACAGCCACCACTTCGCCTAAGACCGCTAGCTCGTCGTCTAGCTCTTGGGCATCACTTGACGAGGTAGGACCTTCGAAAGGAGCTCGGGTTTTGAGAAAGGATAGCCAGGCCTGTTTCGCCCGCGCGCGTCTAGCACCGCTGTCGCCCGGTGGTGTCATGGATGATGGTGGTCGAGAGGCAGGATGTCATGCAGACGTGGCCGACGGATGTGTGGCGAATTGATCCGGTGCCGTTCCCACGTCTCCGGCCTCCAGGTCCGCTTCTTCGCTTCCGGGTACTACAAGATTCACAGGACATCAACAAAAGCATCTCTACCAGTTGTCTACCAGAAGCCTGTACCTGCACGGGCTGCTAGTTGGACCATTTCTGTGTCGACAAATACGACTCGCTCACAGCCAAGAGTTCGTGATTCAAGCTCAATGCGCGAATGAAGGATGGGATTTGTTCCTTACAAGCAGAACGCGATGGTTCAAATGCGATCTGGGCGCATGCCAGCATCATCGTTCGCTTGGTTCACATGGCTGTCGGGAACAAGACGCGTTGCCTCGTGCGCAGGAACTTTGGCGTGTTTGCAGCGGCGGCGGGGAAGTCCCGGAGTAGGCTTTGACGTTGCGCAGACATTGACAGAGGACGTGATTGCCGTTTGATGGTTCAATATTTCTCTGTACTATCTGAAGCAGTTCATTCATGATGAAAAGCAGTAGATACTGTGTACAATCAGATGAGGTTATCTATCAACAGCTCCCCGTAACGTTCTTCTACACAACCACTACATTCGCGCCATGCAACGCCTCCCACGAGTACATGGCCCACACTTTACGGTCCATGCGAACCTCACGCACAGCCTTGGTACGATCCTGGCGTGAATTCACAGCCGCTACCAACGAGCTGAAGACCGGCGCGAGGCTTTCCGCAGAAGGTGCGTCATCGAGTCCATCGGTTGCAGCATCGACGTATAAGTATACAGTTTCGAGTGCAGGAAGTAGCGCAGCGCTGGCGCGATCGTTCTGTTTGGGATCCTCGATCAGTTTCCCGAAGAGTCTGGCAGCGTCGGTGGTCATCGCTACCGCGAGATGACTGATTGCCGGCGCCGAGAAGAGTTTCTCCACGACGTGAGCGAACTCCGTGATGGAATCGTTGAACAGCCTGTAGAGCGCATCCCCGTCGAGCGAGAGGGACGCGAGGCTCTTGAGCGGGAGTAGCTCGCAGAGTCCGATAAGATCGCCGGGCCGAAGGTCGGCTTTGTCTGGGATGCGCGCGATACTTGTGAGGGAGTTGGTCGTGCGTTCCTTGTATAAATGATACATGTCGTCCGGCGAGCGCAATCGTTCAGTAGACCAGGATATGTCGTCTCCAAGGAGCATGCACGCCTTGCCAAATGTAAGAAGAAGGCCCCAGGGTGACTGTTGAAGATCGCGGTTGGCACCATAAGCTGCGTGTGCGAGGCGTGCGAGATTGGTGATGTCGTCGTCGGGGAACCAGCGGACATCGGCCCTGTTGTGATCGTTCAGATCGACTTCAACCCCGCGTGCAAACTCGAGTCGAGATAGCACGTCAAGCGCCGAGTGAACTCGGTACCCATTCTTTTCCATGAGACACTCCAAGCGACGAAAGGTTGGTGGTAACGAGCGGCGGCGGGGTGGCGATGCGGGGGCGTCGGAGATTGCGGTACCGCCACCCGCTGGCACGCGGCTGAGTCGCAATTGCTCTAGTCGTGGCAGGGAACAAAGCATGTCAAGTATGTCATCGATTGCAGGGATGGAAGCGCCAGAACTCGACGTCCATGAGAACGATAGATGGGTGATTCCTGGAGAGAACATCGGAGATGACAAGGGAGGGATGCAGTTCCCGAAGCTGAGGCGCGAGAGTTGGTGAGGGGAGGCAATTGGGAGCTTGATGTCGACGAGCTTCGCAGGAACGTCTTCGTCCGTCGAAAGGCTCAGGGAAAATTCGCTCAGTTGAGGCAAAGAAGGTATGGATCGAGTAATCTTTCGCAAGTAATTTTCGTCGATTCGATGCAATTTGAGGCGGTGAAGATGATTACATGCGGACGGCGTGAGCCACTCCTGTGTGTAATGGATGGAGTTTTGGAGTATATCGTCATTGTAGTCCAGAATATAGTGGAGAGGTTGACCAGCAGATCGAGCTTCGATAAAGTCTCGGTAATTGGAAGGGAGCTCAGAGCATTCGATATCGCACCAGAGAGACGGCAACGCGAGGGCCACCTGTAAAATCGTAGCAGTCAGCGATCAAGGCAGAGAGAGTAACAGCGGGAGGACTCACCTCTCTCAGAGAACTACAGACATGTGTCGTGTTGAGCCAGCCGCGAACATTGTGACCTTTCTTTAGCGTTTGATGATACGACCATTTTGAGGGATACTCTTGGCGAAAGTTGTAGTCCTCTTCCAGCTCTCGCTCAGACATCCGTGTCATTTTGGGGCCCCATCCACTCTTGACGTCGAGTAAGATGATCCCAAGGACTTCGGCCGGGAGCTTGCAGGGCCATGCGATGCGGGCGTTGCGGCGCCGACGCGCCAGTACTACGACTTCGTCCAAGACCGCGAGCTCGTTGTCTAGCTCTTGTGCGTCACTCGACGAAACGGGATCTTTGAGAGGCATCCGGGTGTCAAGAAGAGATACCCATGCCTGTTTCGCCTGCGTGCGGTTGGTACCGCCAGCTTCGGATCGTGCCATGGTGGTCAAGAGCAAGACGCAAGCGTGGCCGGTGAATGTGTGGCGACTAATGCGGCGCCCGTTCCCGCGCGTCTCGCTCCCTCGAGAGTCAGGTTCTGTTTCCCGTTTCGATGACAAGTAGATTCACATAGAGCATACAGCGCAACCAATGTGTTTCTCATTCTTCTTTCTCTGGCGCACTGATACGGTTCGAGGCGTGACTATACCATACTAGCTGACACACATACTACTATACATATCCTTAATCAAATGGCGATTAGCACTGGTATCCGCCGCCGCCATCCGAACTGCTCAGCCAGACACTACACTCACTCCGGCCACGAGGTGCCTCATCGTTGTTGTCATCGGGGTCAGGAAGAGACTGAGGGCGCGAGCCGCGAGACGGGGCGCGTGACTGAGCCGTCTGCTATTACAGTATCGATCGGCACCATCTACATGTCCTCGACACATTCTCCACACAACCGTGGCTTCAAGTGTTGCTCGAGGCTTTGACAGCTGCTTTTCAGTTAAGTTATGTAAAACGACAAGCCACCCTGTGTTGTGCGCACAGAGAGATCTGCCTCATTCCGCGCCCGCGCCGGCCGAAGATACGACGTCAACCGCGGGTACCGGCTTATCCCAGGTTTGACTCGAGTTCAATGGTCGGCCATTGCTCGCCGACATTCTTGACGCAGACTCCGTAGAGTGTGCTCGAATGTTCATGAGCGGGCTGCCGGACCATTCTAGGTCAAAAATGGCTTTGAGGCGGCTTCAGTAATAGCCTTAGGATGGGGGGTCAACGGCGCTGCGGCACATCGCTCTGCTGGTAGAAAAAAGCGGCCGCGGCGCGGCAGTATCCACGCGCGGAACAGGGTAGCTCGTCGTTTTTCAAGCAGCTGGAAGTCTGAGAGATGAAGTACTGAGCTTGGGTTGCGTTGTGTACGCTACGAGGCTCAGAGCCAAGAAGCCTATCCCAACTCCGTTCACAGGGACCACAGCCCCCCTCCCAGCACGCGCCCATGACGACAGACCCCACGAACACACGCGCAGCAGCCAGCACTTCATCTGAGGCTTGAGCGCTTGAGCAGCAAATGAAAGCCTCACCGCCAGCCCGCACGCCGCAAACGCGTCCTCGAGGCGCAGAACCAACCCGCGCCGGGGGGCTGTGACCGCGCGTGACATCATCATCGGCATGAGTGGTTTGTCGGGAAGGGGCAAACCACTGGATGGAGCGGACGAGCCGAGCTCGACGCAGATTGACATTCTGATCTGCCCCGTCATCATCAACCACAACCACCTCCTCTTGCGGGATATATAGCTGGCCTATACGCACCACGGAGCCTTTGACCCCACGGATATTATACGAGGATGTCGCGGCATCGCTACGTGCGCAACTTGGACATTGCTGGTGCGTGTGTTGGGCTGCGGATGGTAATATGGGTGGGGGATTGACGGATGTGTAGCGGAGAGGGACGACGGCGCGCTTTCGGATGGCGCGGACGACGAGATGACGCCCGAGCAGGCCGGTGCGTTTCATTCATTGTCATACCCGGAGGGCACGGCGTCTAAAGGGAGGATTCTGTAGCCCAAATGGAGGACGGGCTCGAGCGCGTGCGGACCGTGCTGGGGGACGAGGCCCAGAGCGGGCTGTCGGACCGCATCGTCAAGGACATGCTCTGGGAGGCGTACTTTGACGTCGACCAGACGATCGACTGGCTCGTGGGTGCGTATATCATCTCGTACGCTATCCCACGGTACTGAACACTGCGCACAGCGGAGCAAGATAAGCAGAAGCAGGCGCGAGAGCGCAAAGGTGAGCGTCCCTCGCATCATTCCACACATTTCGTACTATACGCCATCGGCCTCCATCTTTCTTTGTTCTTCCTTCCCGTTCGAATATTCGGTACACGAGGCGTCGAGGAGGGTGGTCCCAAGGCTGCGTCGGAATCACGAACGGTAGGTACACTTCAACCCGGACGTTCATCTCCCCTTTTCCCTTTTCCCTCGCCCCTCCCGCGCCCATGCGCAACCCGCTGACGAGCATCCTCCACCGCCTGCCCGTCACAGGCCACGCCCAGCAAGACCCCTCAGCCGAATACGGCGTCCCGGCAACCCGCGGCCCGGGCCCGCTCATCCATCAATCGCAGCAGCACATCGGCCTCGACCCCGAGATGGACGGGGACGACGAGAGCTATATTCCCGAGGGCGACAGCGAGCGCACCAGGCTCAGCACCATCACCGAGCACACCGAGCTCACGGAGGCGAGCGTCTCGCGGCGCTATGTCCCCGGGCGCGGCTTCACCGCCTATCGCCGCCGCGATAGCCAGCAGACGTCCCCCGGCACGCCGTCCGCCCAGGCCGCGCTCCAGCTCCCGCCGCGCCAGAGCGTCGCGAGCTCCGTGAGCTCGTTTGGCCAGGTCATCCGTGAGTCCCCCTTTCATCGCGTGGACCACAGACTTTGATGCGCCACCGCGCCACCCTTCCCTTGTTCTTTCTATTTCCGTATACTGATCACATTATTGTATAGGCCACTACGACTCTCGCGATGAAGATCTGACATCCGACTCGCAGTCCTTCGCCGATGCCGAGTCGACGCACACCGACCCGAACCAGATCGAGCCGTCGCCTCCACCGTCGGCGCTCGGGCCCAGCGAGATCACCGCGCTGCCCGGCGTCGAAGAAGATGACGCAGCCAGCGATCGCACAGCGAGCCCTCCGCCCAACCAAGCCCAAGCGCTCAGCCCAGAACCCGTCCCCGTCCCCCCGCCATTCCACGCCCAAATCCCGCTCTACGCTCGCTCTCGCGCGGTCGAAGTCGACATCTTCGCCCCTCGCGCGGACTCGCCTGCGAGCTCGGCGCCTTCGCGCAGAACGGACACGCCACCGCGCAACGCGCCCTCGTCGTCCCACCGCTCGCACTCGTCGTCGCCGTCAAAGTCATCCGCGACGTCTACGGCCCAAGCGCGCAGTCTATCGCCGCCCGTGAACAAGCCCCTGCCCTCCCTCCCGCCGCCCTCGCCGCACTCGCCGTTCCCGCCGCCAACAACGCCCACCCAATCCCTCGCTGCGCCCGCGACGTCGAAACGCACGAGCAAGCTCTCCGCCCTCGCCTCCTCCCGCGCGAGCACCATCACCAAGAGCTCGCGCCAAAGCGCCGGCAGCATCGGCACCGAGAGCATACTGACGTTCCCCGCGCTGCGACCCAGTCGGGAGAGCATGCTCCCGCCGAGCGTCGCGAGCGCCGTGAACATCCCGCCCCCGTCGCCCTCCGCGCCGCTCCTCGCGCAAGTCCACGAAGAGGAAGAAGAGCGCGCCCACGCGAACGGGAATGGCGCAGCTACGCCTAGGAGCGGGAGTGGAAGCGGAAGCGCGAGCCTGAGCAGCGGCGCGCGCAGGCGGGGCGAGACCGAGGCGCAGGCCATCGCGCGGCTCGCACGGGCGCGCGC